TATCGCGTTTAATTACTTTAATTTATTATTATTATCCCGCCGTTTCGGGTGCTTTAGAGCACTCATGGTCACGGGGGGAGGGGGACTGATGTTTGACGTCCCAATGTCATAGTTAGTCCGGCTACCCTCAGTTATTGAATATTAATTTTTGGTCCGATTTACGCAAAACTAGCTTATAGTATCATGAAGTCTTGCAGTGGTATGCTTGGGTTTGGGTTTAATTTTGTTAATTATAGGATCCCAAGCAGCTAGCAGCACCCATGCATCCTCTCTATTGAAATTTGGATGTTTTTTAATTTCAATAGCCTCAAGGATGATCCTTGGTAGGAATCGGTGTTCTTTTGCGAGGATTTGTGGTTTCCTTCTCTCTAGCTGTTTTTCGCTTGCTTGCAAGATATTTTCTGTCACAGTTCCCTCGTGCTCTCTGTAACAAAGATTTACCCACGGTAGCTAACTGTGAAGGATGATGGTGAGATTCACCATTTAAATATCGGTTGGTATGGGTCTTTTTCCTATGCACAGTGTGACCAATAGTGTTATCAGGATTTCGGATGACTAAAACATCTAGGAAGGCCAAAGAATTATTTGCGTCTAACTCCATTGTGAATTGTATTTTAGAGTTTATGGAGTTAAGGTGGTCTAAAAATGCAGTTACTTCGTCAGATGGTAAAATTGGGAAAGTGTCGTCTACGTACCGCTTGTAGAACCTTTGATTTACAAGAGCAGTAAGAAGGGCTTTTTCCTCAAAGTCCTCCATGAATATATCGGCGACTATAGGAGACATAGGTGAGCCCATCGCTACACCAAGTTTTCATCTTTTTTATACAAGATACTCGTATTCGATAAATCATTATCCAAGGCGCGATGTTCATATTTACCATAATATTTTAAACAAAAGTTGTATTAATAACGCAAAAAAAAATTATTGTAGTAAATTATTTTTAATTTGTGAGAAACTTCGTACGTATAGAAGACGCGACCTGGGACTGCGGGGGTAGAGACGGAGGATGCCGTCGCATCAGGATCAGCAAATCCAAAAAGCAAACATTATATACGCTAGAGCCATGCTGCAGTTATATTAATAGTAGAAGGTTCAAGTACCACGCTCTCACAGAATACCACCGTAAAATAGTAGCATAATCCTGCTGTGTTTCGTATGGTGAGTGTAGAGAACCGGATACCCTTTTTACTGGAGACGAGGAATTCCATCTTGGTCCTTACAGGTGGTGGGGTGTAGATGTCTATGGGCCACAGCAACCACTTACCATCAGGTGGACTGTGTGCTCGTTTGTCATCCTATCCTATAACAAAAAAACAACAAAACGTTACATGCAACTGTTAGGTTAATAACTATTATTGTTAAGTTAATAACTATTTAAAGAGGATCGTGGCGCTTCTGACGATGGCCCTTCATTCCGAAGGACCACCAGCTAAAATCCTTGTGACCGTGGAAGGAAAAGGGGAGATCTCCCGCCGGGAAAGGTGTTCTGCCCGGGGAGCGGCCAACACTCCGTATGATAGTTCGGAGATGTTCTATATACGAGTATATTGTTTATGATTCGGAATGTTGATAGCGTGATTTAGGCTTCGGTGTGTTTCGCTTGCGGCGCGACGACAGCGCCGCCACACCCTTAATGCTGGCTGTCACAGTAGTAATCCGGCGAGTCTTACAGTTTCTTGCTCGTCGATCTATGTCACACTACGTTGGGTTCGAGACAACGCAGTTGACGTACCCTTCGATAACGCCTACTTCAGAAACACACACGTCTCTTAGATATTACGGATCCACGCCAGGTCCCGGTCTAGACATCAAATATGTGGAGTGGGTATTTACTTTTTCCCTGACTTTAGGGTCAACACTGGGAATGAAACAGCGATTTTCTTAAAAATTCTTGAGAAATGTGGTAACCGGGGAACTTTTTGAATCTTGATATTGAACCGGATATTTTTTCGAACTTAACTGTAGCGGAGATCTCGAACTTAGCCGTGGAGATGTCGAACGAATTGCGAGCTTCGTATTTTCGTCTGCACGGACTACTTGGGTCCTGCAGGTCTCGGACCTCGGGGTATGCCCCTATTACCCAGATTGTCCTCGCGGTCCATCACCATGGACCGGTCCTAGTAGCCCTTTCTGGCGTTGTTAGTTTATTCGGCTTTTAGTCCGTAGTTGGCAGACAAAATTTTTTCGTAGTCGGTTAAAACTACGAAAAAAGGAGAAAGTCTTGAGGTGTCTAAGTTGGCCTATCAGCGGCAGCGAATTGCGATTGACTCGCCATGGGGTTATGCTTTTTTAGCTATACCGTAAAGTGGGTTATGTGCAAAAAGCCTCCTATTTCGCGCGCATTTTTCGTTATCATATTTCTCTTTTTATGGAAATAACTTTATTTTCAACAAAGACACATACAACAATTATGCTTATCCAATGAGAACACATAAGATTACATGATAAGAACAATAAAGCATATACCTTTTACATGACATTGATAAAATACAAAGCATTATTATTTATTACGTAATTTACATCGTATTATATATAGTAATCACATACGTGTCGTATGATAGGATGTAAATACCTTAAAATCTTAAATATTAATTTTTATTACAACTTAATATGTTAACAAATATTGTTCAATTTACACAGGTCTTATCATAATTAACACTTATCTTAAACAAATCTAAGACAGAAAACAAAGCTTTAATCACATTTTTCAAACAAAGTTTTAAGCAATTTTTATTTACAAAATATGTATCCTTGTTTTTCTTTTAACATACATATTTACTACTCTAACATTGTATTATCTCTTTCTTTCTATGAAAACAATGGAAGTTTTCTAGAACTAATAATAGCAAACAATATTTTGAATTATTTTAATTATTTTTACCTTTAATCATTTAATATTTCGGTTCGCGTTGCACAACCGATTGTTACGTAACACATGACTTTAAGTTAAAAACAAATGTACATGCATCCATTACTACATTAACATGACTTTCATACATTCACAAATTGTCTTAAGGTTCAGGGATTAGCCTTTCTATATAAACATTGGTTTACTCAATTTATGCTTGCGACGCTAACAATCTCCCCACCGTACGCTAGCACCATTATAAGGGCAGCGTTGCAGTTACCAGGACCATTAAACGAGATGTAGGCCTCCTCAGAATGCCTGTTTTCGTGATGACGTCCACAACCCTAGTGTGACCATTTTCTGCCGGTAACGTACTGTGCACTGTACCTCGTGGCCATGTATTACGTGGTAGCGAATGATCTACGATCAAAACAACATCACCCACGTTAGGCTCCATGAACTTGCTACCGTCGCCTGTTCGAGTTATCAACATAGGCGCTTTCCAATCCGGCTGACCGATTAAATGTTTATCCATAAACAAACCAGGTGAACTATCTAAACAAGAATGTCCTAAAAGAAAATGAGACCTCTTTGGGACTATACATATTAACCGAAACTAATGGTAGCGAATTGACTGTGTGCTGTGCTTCTAAAATCAACGTGTGCAAAATTTCCTCTTTAGGACTCTTTTCCTTTTAAGAGTTGCGATTAAAGGTGATGAGTGATCATATGAGGTGCTCCAGGTGGTATGAACTTCCAATTAATATATTTCTTAAAACATTCATTTTAATGCTTTCATAGCATTCCATGCATACCTGTGTAAGTTCCTTATTTGCAGCTTTGAAATTCGTTCCGTTATCGGACGGAAGGTTTTCCTCTTCTGGCAATAAATCGTCTTAATTGACGATGGTGTCAATGACGCTGCTTATTCTAGATGTACTGCTCTGGTAGTTAAACAAGTGAATAGAACTCCCCACCGTTTCTCATGTCTCCTTCCTACGGATACACTCATGGGGCCGAAATCATCTACAGCTGAACATGTTAAAATTGGATCATGATGAGCTATTCTTTCTAAAGGAAGATTGCCTTGCGACACAGTTTGTGGCCTAGATTTATAGGTCTTACACCATTGACAGTTACGTGTAACATTACGAATTGTATTACGTAAATTAAGAATATAAAACTTTTGGTTCACCTCATTCATCACGATTTGATGATTAGCGTGACCAAAATGATGATAAACTCCTTTAATCATCACGTTCACTATGTCATGTTTACCGTCTAAAATGACAGGTTTTCTTCTTTGTTCTGACAAATTAGATTTGAATGGTAAACGACCATTCAATCGAAGGAGGTTATCTTCTCCTATTTCTAAAGCCAGTTTGCTTAACCGTGAATTCTTTTGAACGTTTTTCCCGCTTTTAAACAGCATATTTCCGAATCAAAACATTCATCCTGAACGAACTTCCATATAAGACTTTCAGCCTTCTTTAAAAGAGCTATTTCGAAAACGTTGTCGGGTCCTTTAACCGACTTGGTCGAAATATCTTTAGAACACAGAACTAACCTTTTCGAATCGGTTAATTTGTGGGAAATTAAAAACTTGAAATTTGCTATGGCTTGCAACATTCTTGGCGTAGCCCTAAGAAATCTTTCGAAATTACTGAATCGTCCGTAGTCGGGTAAACTCCACGATTCTTTTCTTATCAGCGTATTTACGCTCTTTGACGATTTTTCTTTACCCGTTCTATATATTTTTTCATGTGTGGGTCAATCAATCATCCTCAATTTACATCAGTTTAAAGCCAACAGTTTGAGATGTCCGTTAGTGAAGATTTAAATCTAAATTCTAAATTAAGTGAGTGATTGGTGAATAATAACAAGAAATAGCGCAAAGTTTCAAATATTCTTCGGAATGGCTGAGACAGCTGATTCAAGGACGCCCGGTCGGTCGGTCACTGAACTCACCAGCTACGGCGAGCTTTTTCCTACAACAAGCGTCGCTGCATCTTTCTATCTCTGTCAGCCGCTGCTAGCTGTTGCCACTTCGACTGTCTGCATTGTTTGTTTGCGCGTGAGCTTTAATTGTTTTATAAGGCTAAATCAGCTGTTCTGCTTCGTAGATAAAATTAAGTTTTTACAATTAGCAGTATGCCTAAATGCGGAGCTTGCGGCAAATTCCTGTCAAAAGCGGACAGTATTCGTTGTAATTGTTCCGCTGCTTTCCACAAGGCATGTGTAGGGATTCCAGAAACTTCTTCTGTAAAGGGCGCGTGGGTGTGTCCCGGCTGTAAAATTAAAAAACCTAGAGAGGACAACACTTCTACTCCTGTGAAGGGACTGACTGACACATACCAAAGTACTCCTAATAGTTCTAATAATTCAGCGGACAATACCACAGAGGAACTTAAGGTGGATCTGGTCCTAGAAATTAGATGAGAGCTCAAATCCATTAGAGAAGAGGTTCACGAGTGTCGCGTTAGAAATATTGGAGTTCACGGCCACACTTAGTACGTTTGAGATAAGAATGAGTGAAATAGAAACCAGGATTTCTGCTCTGGAGAACAAGAGCTCCCAAATAGCAACCTCGTCAAACACTATCGCACTCGAAGATGCTATCGCCGAGCTGAAAGTTCAACTTAATAACAGAGACCAGGAGCTCCTCTCCAATGACGTTGAGATATCCGGCATAACTGAGCTTGGAGGAGAAAATCTTATGTCAACAGTTACAGTTCTATCTACGAAGCTGGGAATAACATTAGACAAAAAAGACATTGTTAACGTGTTAGCTTAGCACGTCGCAATAGGGTGGAGGGGAGTACTTGCGATAACGATCTCAGCTCAATACATCCGCCAATTGTAGCTGTGCGGTTCGCCCGCCGAGCGACGAGGGACGAGTGGCTGCGCGCAGCTCGCGTGCGCCGCAACCTCTCCACAAAAGACATCGATGTGACTGCCAAGCCAAGTAGCATATATATGAACTGACGACTGATGCGAGCTAATTGATACCTCTTTTTCCTTGCACGTCAAGAGGGCAAAAAACGCGAAATATGTCTGGTCGAAAGATGGAAGAATATTGGTTCGTAAAGACGGTGGTGAGAGGGCGTTTCATATTCGTAGTGAAAAGGACATTTCCAAAATTTTTTAGTCGATCATAGTTTGTCTCGATCGTACCCAAACTTTTTCTTCATACTGTATACAAACATGTATTTTACTGGTACCTTATTTATCTGTGTCTCAAATTGCTTTCAAGAATATTATCTTACCTTGTATATGATAATTTATACCCCACTGTAAAGCAAATAAATTTTTATTTTTTAGATATGCCTATAGGTCATCTTCTGGTAACTTATGTTATATTTATAAAAATAGCCTTTGGTTATGAACGTCTGTGCACTCTTCAGTTAAAGAGTGTCCGTGAATTTTATTAATATATATTTTGTTATATCTATATACCGTGACCCGTTGTAGCTCAGATGGTTAGCGCTCGCTGTAAATTTCACAATACGCGAGCGGGTTCGATCTCCGCCGGCACCAATGAAATTGGTAATTACAATTTTAAACCTTAACTTGGCAAACTTTATGATGTCATTATTTTTATATTTCTGTCATATATTTGGGTTGATAGGTGCTAAATGGACAACAAAAAAATAAATAAAAAAATCTGCCAAATTTAGTTTTGTTTTTATACCATGTATCTAATAATGCACACTACCAAGTAACCAGAAATTCATATTTGAAAATCCATGTGCACTATAGGATACATTGCTGGGTAGGTAGTAAATAAAAATATATATATTTTTGTAGAATAATTTTTGTATTTACTGTTCTAAACATATAATATCTTTATCAACATATTTAAAATCACAGTCTTCAACTTATAGTAGGAACAGAACTTCAACTACTTTATTATAATTATTTTTTGACCACCACGGTCACACAGTTATCACATACCTAGTGATAATTAAAAAATAAATATAATAAAGCGATATAATATGACAACAATATTACATAATTCAAATTACAAAAAGACACATGAAAATAAAAAATGGAAGTGACTACAACTATTTGCTTAGTCTAAAACTTTACTTACTTTTCTTTCATTTGAAGTAATTTGCGATAAAGCTCTGCGGCCTCGTTTTTCCAAAATTTTATCAGGAGGAAGCTTTTTGTCTCCTCCACGCAAACGATTTGGTCTCACAGTTCCGAAGGAGAATATCCTTAACAAGCAGGCTCTTTGATTGTTTTGCTCAAAGCTATGACAATTTGAGCTTCCAATCCCATACTGTTTTCTTCGTTGAATTAATGAAATCGAAAAGTTCTTCTCCCCATAAGAAAAAATAACAGATATTCTTGCTCTAAGAATATTTTAATCCCTTTCGGGCTTATTTTTGATGTCTGTTTGCGGGTCCCCGTTCTCGTACCTTTATACGGCACCATCATTTCGTCCACACTGAACCGGTCTTCCTCTTCAATATTTATGAAATTTTGGCGAATTTTTTCTAACACAGGTCTTATTTTTGTAATAACGATCCCCATCGTCACCTAAAGCCTCCAAAAAATGGAAATATCGTCGGATCAGTTGAAATCTTCTCATTGTCATGATGTCTGCTATTTTTCTGTATCTGAGAGCTTTAGACCAATAATCCGTACAAGATAGAAAACGTATACGACACCCACGACCATATTAATAGCAATAAAATCATTTACTTCATCCAAAACCAAATTCATGGGCGTGCCCTTTATTTGCATAAGATATAAATTACTTTCTCGAACTATCAATTCAAATATATCCTACGAAAAAATAGTTTGTCATATTCTAACGATGATTTTGTTTCAGAAAGTTCGGTGAATATTTTATCACTGATTTCAGCAGTGTACTTAAATCTTGCAATTATTCACTTAACTTCAAGATTTTTCTAACTACAGTGTTTTTGACTAGGTAATCTCTTTTTCTGGATCGAGTAGCATTTGATGGTAATGGAAAGAATAATATATATGTAGAGCTATTAGCTATTGAAGAGATCGGTGAAGGTGTCGCTGGGAATATTACATTGTTTGGAGAAGTAACAACACTGGACGTAAACAAATTACTCAATAAACTCGTCTCAACAAACCGTCGCATTTTCGGCCGATACTACATAATATCTCCCATTAGTCGTCTTTACTTTGTAAGTTTCGTACAGGCCTAAAAAGTAAACAAACCATTATATACATTAGACACAATAAATACGATTTCAATAACGTTTCGTACTTGGTAATTTATCTGAAAATGCTCACAGTAAAATGTACTCTCTAGTGCTGTAAGTTTGGCAATGTGTCCTATAGTGCACACTTCAAAAGTCAGGTCATAGTACAGGATCTTGGCGATGTGCATTTGTAGATACATGAACATTGACAGTAATATTTTAGATAGAAAATATTACTTTTCGATCAAAATCTTTTGCATTACCAACACAATATACATTCAATTACATAATTATCACATATATCTGTCGTAACAACAATACTTTGATAGGATTTTAATCGATTAAAACAGTGATTCCTAAAGTGGTCTATATCGACCCCTAGGGGTCTATGACAACCTGCAAGGGGTCTACGTCAGGGAAAAAATTTTTGGGGGTCCATGAAAAGAAAACTGGGGGTCCACGATAGTGGATTTCAACACATACACTGATAGTACCTATTTACTTACATCATGCTATCTTATAATATCAAAACATATACATTATTTATAAAAGTACCTATGAAGTAAAAAAATTATTACATATGTTTATAAAATTGTGTAAGTTGTAGGATGTTGGTATTCGCTTTGTGGTCGCAATACATTTTGAACTTGTAAAAACCTGAGAGTCGCAGTCTCAGAGCTTCGCTACCTTGCACTGACTTGTTCAATTTGTCACTCTATAAATACGAATGTGGGACAAATACGTTTATTCGTTTCCTGAATCTTGAAAAGGAAAGTGCTAAGAAAATATTTTAAAAAATATAAACAGATAGTATATCACACAAATTATAGTGTGTTATTTTGTTTGAGAGTGCTGGAGAAAAGTAAGTACATTATTTTTTATTAAATTTTAGTTTTGTACTCGTAGTTAGCAAAGATAGATAAATTACGCCAATCATGACTTTAGTTATTAGTAGTTTAATATTCAATCATGCGAAATTACACGAGTACTCCTCAATAGTTTCTTTTTGAAAGTTTTAGCAATCGGTATTATAATTACAGTGCAATCTCCGTAATTCGATCTAATTGTTGCAAGAAGATGTTCGAATTATGGAATGTTTTCGGAAAAAACAGCTGATGGATTTTCTGTCTTACTTAAATAATTTAATTTTGCCCACAGATGACTGATGCCATATCCGAATCTAAAAAGAAATGTAGACAGTACAGTATCGATTATTTGAAATTTGGCTTCATTCCATCAGTGCCGGACAAACAATTGCCTATGTGCCTTTTATGCAACAAAGTTTTGGGCAATGACGCTATGAAACCATCTAAACTGCAAGATCATCTGAGAAGATGCCATCCTGATAAAACAGAGAAAGATTTGAAATACTTTCAAACACTCAAAGATAAACTTCAAAAGTGACCTACACTGGACAGAATGTTTGCTTCGACGTCACAAGGAAATGACGATGGTTTGTGGGCGTCTTACAATATCTCGTTACTTATAGCAAAATCCGGAAAACCGCATACTATCGGAGAGAAGTTAACTTTGCCAGCCGTTGAAGAGGTTTTAGAAACTGTTTTACACAAATCTGCATCTGATATCATTAAAAGAATTCCCTTAAGCAACATTATTGTTGAAAGACGTATTGATGAAATGAGTGATATTGAAAGCTTCTTATGTAATTATTTGCAAACGACCCATTTCTCTATACAACTGGACGAATCAACTTTACCTGAAAATCTGCATTATTATTGTCATATGTTCGTTTTATTATGAATCAAGAAATCTACGAAGAACTGCTCTTCGCAAGAACTTTGATAACTGACACTAAAGGTGAATCAATAGGTATTTCATGTTTTGAAGGATTACTTCATTGAAAAAGCAATTCCTTTATCAAATATAATATCAGTAGCTACAGATGGATCACCTGCCATGGTTGGACGTTATCGTGGATTTATAAGCTATTTAAAACAAAATGTGTCAGGGGTGTTAGCAATACATTGCGTCATCCATCGACAACATTTAGTTGCTATAAATTTGAGTGTTAGATTGCATGAATCACTTCATTTAGTCATTGATGCAGTAAACCGAATCCGAAGCAATGCGTTGAATACGCGGTTATTTGCGCAGTTGTGTGAAGAAAATGACGAACACTTTCATCAATTACTCCTTCACACTGAAGTACGCTGGCGGCTTATGTTTGACAAGATTTTTTGCGCTTTTTGAGACTATTTTAGAATTTCTGGATACTAAAGATAAAATTTT